GAGTGCCCGATAGTCGGTACAAAACCTCCATCCGCCATCCTTCTTCTTTACCAACAAAACTGGACTGGAAAAAGGGCTAGTGCTGTGCCTCACAATGCCGGACTGCAACATCTCCCGTACCAGCTTCTCAATCTCATTCTTTTGGTAAAAGGGGTATCTATAAGGCCTGATATGGGGTATCTCAGCACCCGGTTTCAAGATAATGGCATGATCATGTTCTCGATGTGGTGGGAGCCCGGCAGGCATGTCAAATACATCCTGAAATTCCTTCAGCAATTCAGAAAAAAGAGGATCAGTACTGATAGTATCACCCCCTTCCTCCTGCTGCACTATGAAGCCCACACCCTTGTCTTGCAATGCCTTCCACAAGGCCTTCCAGGAGGCTTGCCCTGTGCAGAGAGATGGATCACCATGGATGGTGTACTTCTGCCCATTCCTGGTCCATTTCAGGCTCAAGTTTCTGAAATTTGCCTCTATGTTGCCCAAACCAGCCAGCCAATCCAATCCCAATACCAATTCTGTCCCCCCCAGATCCATCAGATAAAAGTCCTGATGGAACTCTATCCCTTGGATTGTGAAACAGACATTGTTACATACCCCGGTGTTTCTGATTTGTTCCCCGGTTCCCACCTCCACGACAAAAATTGGCGTCTCAGTGATTTTCAGTTTCAAAATCTCAGCAATCTCCGGGGACACAAAACAACTAGTTGCACCCGAATCAATCAAGGTCAGTATTCGCCTGCCTCCAATCACCACCCATACCTTGAAGGACTTGTGGGTCGCAATCCCTGCTCTGCTTTGCAAAGATAGATGTAGAGTTTTAAACTCTTCTACAACCTCGCATTCTTCAAATTCCTCTTCATCACTACTTCCTCCTTCACACAACATCAGCCGCAGGTGCTTCATTTTGCAGATATGCCCTTTACCCCATCTATCTCCACATTTAAAACACAACCCTTTCTTACTTCTTTCTTCTAGTTCAGCTTGGCTTAGTGACTTCCCTTTCCAACCTTCTCCTCCTTTCCCCCCAGTATACCCATCCTTCCGGTCAGCTTCCTTTTTGTCTTTGTTGTTATCCCACAGGCTGCGAAACTTAGGAGTATAGGTCCTGTCCTTGGTCTCCATCCTTTCCTTTGCGCCAATACCCTTCCCAAACAGAGCTTGGTGCGTCTCTTCAACAACCAAAGCTTGATCCATTAAATCTGCCAAGTCAGTGATCTTAAACAGCTGCAACTCCGCTCTAACTTCCTCCTTGAGGCCATTTCTGAAGATGCTGGGAAGTAAGGTGCGTTCCTCCTTCTTCAATGGAGCTACAAGGAGTTCAAAATGATCCCTATAGTCCGCAACAGTCCCTTCCTGCTTCAACCTCAATAATGGGCCCATCGGATCAATAAATGCACCCGGGTTAAACCGCCGCAGCACCGCGACTTTGAATTCCGGCCACGTTCTCTCCACCGTCTGCTCTTCCCACCATTGGAACCAATTAAGGGCCCTTTCCTCCATAGCAATCACCACTGCGTCGAGTTTTTCCTCCTCCTGCAGCTCGTTGACCCGGAAATATCTCTCGACCCGGACTAGCCAACCATGCACATCGTCTCCATTAAACACGGGAATCTCTAGCTTGCGACCTCGTGTCCGCCCTTGATGTTCGTACCCTCCGGATTTCCCCTGCGGTGAAGTTATTCCACTTCAGCCGGGTGAAAACTCCCCTTCGTCCTCCCTCGCACTACCCTTCCTCTTCGCGAAGTCTCGGAACTCTGCGTGAAAAGATTCCATGCTCTCAAGGATCTGCTTCACTGATCCTTCTAAGTTTCCCACACGTAGTTCCATGTTGTCCATGCGGTGCTCCATCCCGCCCCTGGTCGCTACCATCCACTCGCAGGATCACACGCTCTGATACCAAATTGATAGGGTCTTGCTTCGTATTGATAATATTGAAAGGAAAACAGTCTGAATCAGAATGGATCAGCGTAATTACAAATAAGAAACTGAGAAAAACATGGATGAAGGATAAAAGGTTTTTACAGAGTCCCCACTCTCCTAAGACAAGCCAATTTCCAGTCTGCCAACTCCCAAATGCCCTGCCCGCTATAATCCCCTCTGCGCCGACTCTCACTGCACGTACCCACGTCCTTGCACGTTCCCAGGTGGCCAGGATTTAGTTATTAGAGGCGTGATCCCCAATAACCGGTCCTCCCATATTTCTTTTCTTCTTCCTGATATACACTTTGTCAAATTTACCCCCCGTTAATGTATCAGAGGCTTTCGAATCAGGTAAACTACCAAGTAACATTAATCATACTATTGTATTAATTCCAAAAAAGGATTGCCCCGAGTCTTTGAATGATTGGAGACCTATTTCTTTGTGCTATGTTGTGTATAAGATTTTTTCGAAAGTGTTAGCTAACAGACTGAAGCCCTTGCTTCATTTATGTATTTCTGAGAACCAGAGTGCGTTCATTCCGGGTAGGTCTATTGTTGATAATATTATGCTCGCTTTCGAATCACAACATTTTTTGCACCGGAAATCTCAGGTTAAAACGGGGTTTGTAAGTCTTAAACTGGATATGAGTAAGGCTTATGACAGGGTAGAGTGGTCTTTTTTAGAAGGAATGATGAGACAAATTGGGTTTGCTGAAAGATGGGTTAATATGGTGTCGGAGTGTGTGCGATCTGTTTCTTACTCTATCCCTTTTGATGAGATGGAGTTAGGGCCTATTTTACCTACTAGGGGGTTAAGGCAGGGTGATCCGTTATCACCCTATTTATTCCTTCTAGTGGCGGAAGGGTTGAGTGCTCTTTTGAGGGGGCACGAATCCGCAGGCCGTTGCATGGTGTTGCGGTTGCTCGGGGGGCTCCGAGGATATCTCATCTACTTTTTGCAGATGACAGTCTGTTATTTTTTAGAGCAACGCACGGGGAAGCATCTCTTGTGAAAGAGATGTTGCACGACTATGAGTTAGCTTCTGGACAGGTGATTAATCTTAATAAATCAAAAATCTTTTTTAGTTCCAACGTGTCTGCTGAATGTAGAGAAGGATTGGTTGATTTACTGGGGGTGGGTTTAGCAGGCAATGATGAGAGGTATTTGGGGTTGCCGGCTCTGGTGGGAAGAAATAAGAAGTCTATTTTATCTTACTTGAGACATCGAATGGTTAGTCGTATTCAGAACTGGAATAACCGTTTTTTATCCAGGGCTGGAAGAGAGATTTTATTGAAATCGGTAATCCGGGCTATGCCGACCTTTGCAATGAACGTTTTTCTTTTGCCTAAGGAATTATGTCGGGAAATTGAAGTCCTAATGAATGGGTTTTGGTGGAGTGGAAAATCAGGGAAGGGGATTAGATGGAGGAACTGGGATTTTTTTGTGTAAACCAAAGAAAGTTGGGGGTATGGGCTTTAAAAAAATCCGTGAGTTTAACTTATCAATGTTAGCTAAACAGGCGTGGAGGATCTTTACTAATCCCGAGTCCCTTGTGGGGAAGGTGTTCAAGTCCCGGTATTACCCTGGTGGGAATTTCTTGACTGCTAAAATTGGTCACAACCCCTCTTTCGTGTGGCAAAGTATTTTTCAAACTCAGAATATTATAAAAAAGAGCTATTTCTGGAGAGTAGGCCGTGGGAGTGATATTAACATTTGGACTGACCCGTGGTTACCTGACCCGAATCAGCCAATGGTTATTACATCCCTGGTTGAAGGTCTTCATGAGGCGTGTGTTAGGAATCTCTTGTGCGAATCAGGGAAAGAGTGGGACAGGGATATTCTTAGTGATTTATTCGAGTCCAGGGATGTTCAATTAATTCAAAGCATTCCTATTAGTTATCGGTCTATTCCGGATAAAATTTGCTGGAGATGGGAATCAAACGGACATTTCTCTGTTCGTAGCTGTTACCGGCAGTTGGTTGGAGAGTTTAACTCTCCGAGTTGGCTTGGTTGGACTTCTGTTTGGAGGTGGAAGTTGCCTCCAAAGATTAAACTTTTCTTTTGGCAGCTCTGCTGCGGGCTATTGCCGACGAGGGTGAATTTGAGGTCCCGAGGGGTGGACTGTGTCGTGGAATGTGGGCTGTGTGGAGAGGAAGTAGAGTCGTCGAGCCATCTTTTTGTCAAGTGCCCGATTTCAAAAGAGGCATGGAAGGAGATTGGTTGGGCTTGGGCGAGCTGCTCAGACGATGATCTCTTGGGGGTGGTGAAGGCAGAATTCCAGACACGAACGGAGAAGGAATTGCACAAGATGGTTTGGGGGTTCTGGGGGCTGTGGGGTGAAAGAAATAATAGAGTATGGAATGGGGTTCGGAGGGATCCGAAATATATTTTGTTAAAAACTAAAATTTTTGTTACAGGATGGGAAAATGCTCAAATTGCAGCTGGTTCACGTGAAGGCAGCAGGAGGAAGGCACGGACAAGCTGGAGCAGACCAAATGCAGGGCGGGTAAAGCTGAACATTGATGCCGCTGTTCGTTCTCATATGTGTGGGTGGGGCTGGGTTCTTCGGAATGAAAATGGAGAGTTCCTAGCGGCTGCAACAAAGGCGTGGCAGGGGGTTCTATCGCCCTGGGAAGCTGAATTGATTGGCATTAGGGAGGCACTCAGTTGGGCAAAGGAGAAAGGGTGGGATTTTATTGATGTGGAATCGGATGCTTTAAGAGCAGTGGCGGAGATTCAAAGCGGTTCGAGTGTTTCTGCAGCAGGCATGGTAGCGGAAGACATACGTGATATTAGCTCAAGGATGTTGAATGTTTCCTTTGGTCATGTTAGACGATCTGCAAACATGGTAGCTCATGAGCTCGCTCAAGCTGCGTGTTCTACGTCTGATTGTCGTTCTTGGATTGATGTTCCTCCTAATTTTATTACTCATGTATTGCACAATGATTTAATTAATGATAATTAAACTTGTTTTCTTCAACAAAAAAAAAAAAGACGCATCTACTCACCTTATCAAGAGAAATATAATATAATGTGTAGCAATTTAGTCATACCAAAATACTTGATTGTGACATACCTTCTCAGGTCTTGTTTCAACTTTAAAATGAAGCAATCCCAAACAAAGTACCAGAACAATAGCCAAAGATGAGCATAGAACACATAAGGGATGCCTTGCCACCCATGTTCCATATACCCTGCTAGACAACAATTACGTCATACTTTAGGGAATAAAGGCTTATACAAAGTGCTATCTTAATTTCTTGATATATCGATTTCATATATTGATTCATGTTAGCCGACCCCATATTTTTTTTAGACTAAGGCGTGAATGTTGTTAGATGTTGTTGTATCTTAGTTCCTTAATACTCCCTTCGTCCCTCCGGGCTCCATCCCATTTATGTGTCATCCAACAAGACTTGAATCAAATTATTTACCACTCAGTCTTTTGTGATGTACTCATGTACGTAGTATAATTTAGAGTTAGTAGATGAATTTTGGGTCTTCACGAACTGCATAAAAGGTTTAAACGCGAAAAATAAAATACAACATATTGTTTTTATAAGCTAAAACTACCTTAATTAAGAAAATAAGAAAATATGTACAAAACATCTAATTGATAGTAGTAGTACGGAATTAAATCAAAATAAAAACAAACCTCTTACAATTAACTTAATATTTCATTATTAAAACATTCCCCCTCAAGATAGTGAGTGGATATTTATCATTCTCAACTTGCACGTAAGATCTTGAAGTTGTTCTAAGGGAGGACCTTTGGAGAGGAAATCAATGATAGAAACTGATCCTCACAGAAAACAGTAAAGAAAGAGAAGAAAATACAGATCGAGGCTCTTCGAGAGGCCTCACTCTCCCAGTTCCTAGCCCAAGCCAAGTTCTGCCCTCCCTCCTTTCCCCCATATCGACACATTATTATAATACTCTCCTAAAAGGCCGGTCCTCCACCACTAAGTATGAGCCTATAACCCTTTTATTATGCAATATTAAAATACCTAATATTATTCTTGTTAGGGGGAGTGTCCAGGTCCCTATCAACAAACCACTTGACACCAGAAATATTAGAGGTAGATGTAGGTCCCAACACATCCGAATGAACAAGATCAAAAGTTTTTGAACATTTACTATTACTAGGAAGAAAAATTGTTCGGTGATGTTTAGCAAATTGATAGACACCACAATTAAATAATTCAACTGATACGTTGTAAACAAAAAAAAGGACATAACAACTTAAGGACACTAAAAGGAGGATAACCAAGATGCCTATGTTGAAGCCATATCTAGGAGGAAAACCAAGATTGTGAACCCATTTGAGGATTGGGTGCGAGTTTCTTTTGTTTTCTGCATTCGTTACTGTCTTCAAAAACAATTAGCCCATATCTTTAATATAACACTCAGCCCATGAAAACAATAGGGTAAAACCTACGTAAAACTAAGAGTCCAAGTACGTAAAAACGTAAAACTTGTGCGAGACACTATAACTATCATCGCTAGCCATCCTTGCTCTTCACTCTCCTCTCTCCTCACTCGACACTCAAGCTGCTCTACACCAGCCAGATCTTTCATCTTTCTTCATCATCTCAACTTCTCAAGCAAACTTAGCTCTCCCTCGCAGCACTAAACAAGGTATGTCTTCTTTTTCATGCCGTCCTCTTCATCCAAATACTTACATTACACTAGTGTCTAAATATTAGTGTAAATGTGTGATAAAGTAATAATATTGTGTATTAGTATATTAGTATGTACGTAGTATATAATACTCATAGCACTTGAATATATGTACTCTGGTTTGTGGTTTTCAAGTATCTTAAGTTCTTAACTTTAAATATATTACGCAGTTCTGTGTTTTATACAGATATTACTTAGCTTGACCCAACCAGAGTAAAACATGGCTGTTAACGAAAGGCCGAGTAAAATATGTTATTGAGTCTCTTAATATTAACTCAATAATTAAGACAGAATACTAATCATTACTCCCTCCATCCCTTATAACTTTGCGAATTTTCATTTTTTAGTTGTTCCGCTAACTTTGCCGTTTTCCTTTTAAATAAAGAATTTGTGGTTCTTGTTAATTATCTCCTCTGCACAAACCTCAACCACACAGCTTTTACTTTATTATTTTACGTGCTAGTCAATTTTGGCAATATTATAACAGATTTCCTTGCTTGGAATTGAAAACCTTATTCTCCACTTCATGACAGGGTTGAGAGATCATGTTTCATAGAATACGTCTCTGCCAAGTTCTTGCAGATCTCTTGAGCAGTAGGGAAAAACATATAATTTCGACTAATCTTTGGACTCATAGTGTCAAAAGTCAAAACCATGTCATTATAAGAGAATACTCATCAACCCATGTGCCATATGTTGAATCGTCATTACAAGGGTTCCTCCTTCAATGTGACTAATTCTCTTGCGTCCTCTAAGAGTGGTCCAAATAAGTAGAGCCCACTAAAGGTAGTTGTATTTTTCCAACTGGTACGACCCTTGAAATGGTGGAAGAGACATGGTGGCTAAAAAAGATCTTGACGATGGAAGAAATGGTGACCAAGAGAGTGAAGTGGACATGGCAATGTGACTAGGAAAAACAAGTCGTAATAAGAACGGCTAGGTTTTTTTGTCAAGTGCAGAAAAAGAGCCTGCAGAATTGAATGGCTCCAATACCAACTTCAAAGGTAGAATTTTTATTAAGTCAGAAGTAAAACGCAACTGATATTTTTTATAGGCTAAACCTAATTAAAGAAATAAGAAGATCTATTCAATCTCCTAATTGATCCTATGGAATCAAATCATAATAGAAACAAATCTTTTAGAATTAAATAAATATTCTCTTGTTACAGCAAAAGGAATTATAACAGATAAAATAACAACAAGTAGGTTTATAGATATTAAACATACAATATGCGGTCACCTGAAAAAACTTGACAAGTACCGTTGCACGATTGAAAGTTGAACGTTACTTGAAATATGTGGTGCATCTTCGAACATCTAATAAATTAAGGAAGAACAAGAGATGGAGAGATGTGTCATATTTATCTCATAACATCATATTTCTAGATAACGATGTGAAAACATGCTCCTAGAATTTAGTTAGCTATCACAAAATGAACTCATGGGTATGTAACCAAGCATTCCAGCCCAGCTGGTTGTGAGGTTACCGTGCCTAGTGGGAGGTCTCGAGTTCGAAACCCGCTAGGCACATAAGGGTTTGAAACTCAATGGAGTGAGTTTCGGCCCTGATTACTCCAGGCTAGGGGTGCAAACGAGCCGAGCCGAGCCCGAATCTATATAGGCTCGAGCTCGAGCTCGAAATATATTATATTGGCTCGAGCTCGAGCTCGGCTCGAACGAGCTTAAAAAATCGAGGCTCGAGCTCGACTCGTAAATTATTAGATAGCTCGATTCAACTCGATAGGCTCGATGGTTTTTGTTCATCAGCTACAAAAGTGACAGGTTCAATTAGACTGAGATACAAGCGGGGTAAGAGAAATTGAAATAGTGGAATAAACTTAGATGTTTTTTTTATGTTAAGTTACTTTATACGGAGTATGGAGTAATATAATACGGAGTATATTAATACTTAATAGTTAATACTACGTAATACGTCCTATCTCTCAGTACATTAACTAATTTGTATTATACATATATATTGATATATATTATATATATTAAACTAGGCTCGCGAGCCGGCTCGCGAGCCAACGAGCCTAAAATTGATAGGCTCGTATAAGGCTCGACTACTTAACGAGCCGGCTCGAGCTCGGCTCGAGCTCGATTTTGACCGAATTCGATCCGAGCTTTGACCGAGCAGCTCACGAGCGGCTCGGCTCATTTGCACCCCTACTCCAGGCTCCCCCCAGCCCCCCTCCCCCAGACCCCCTGGAGTAAAAATAAAATAAAATAAAATAAAAATAAAATAAAAATAAAAAGAACTCATGGATATGTAGCCACTTCATGCACATGATTAGAGGACATGTCTAATAGAGTACTCTTTCAAAAAATAAATGCACAACTCTTAATGTTTTTTTACATAAAGATTGGTTAATTAATATAATTGTTGCTTCAAGCTTCATACTTGAAAACTTAAACCATGAAATCAGGCTAAAAGTATAATCAATAAGCATTGTGAAATATACTAGAATATGTTATAGAATATTTTAGGGATATACTCTAAGATATTATTGTTGTATAGAATCTTATAGGAATACTCTATCTTTGTAATGTATAATCACCCTTCAATGAAATACACTGGAAATCATTCTCTTCTCACTAATATTTTAGCTTAATTCGGTTTACATGGTATCAGAGTACATATATTCCATTTCAACTTAGTTTCAATATTTTTTTTGTTTTCTATCAGATCCTCAGTTTAGAACATCAGCCAACACTAAACTTCAGAACCTCAGCCCATAACCTACCTCACCTCCACCCTACACTGGTGCGCCTTCCGCTGGTGACCAGACACTCGAAATCCGCTCATCTAAACTGACGCACGTGAGCTGCACGCGCCGTCGGGGATTCTCGCTAATGTGGAGAAAGGGGAGAAAAAATTGTGCATCTATTGATATATTCACCATATGGCAGGTACCTGTGTTGGCACATTCTTGTCTTTTTTCTTGTTAATTTGGCGGATGACACCCGTATCAGGAGCACTTATCAATGACTTTGTCCTGGAAGCTGAACTTCTTTCTTTTCTCCTTTGAAGAAAACCCCATCCAAGAAAAAAGGAGACCAGGACGATATAAGTTATTGCTGCAGAAACTTCAATACACTTTGCCTGCATTAACTGAACCAGTTACTGTGACAGATTTACATGATTGGTGACTGGGTGTAATTGAACAGGAAGAGAAAACATTTGATTTCCTACGTAAAAAAACCTTGTCCCCCATCTAGAAACCATCATGTTTATGTGAACTGTGTCATATTAAGGCCACGCAAAAGAAATGCGGAGAAGTATTTTGGAACGAATCTTCCTATTGCATAATTATTATCATCATATATCATTATTAACTTCCTTTTATTAATATTAGTATTACTATTAGTTTCGTAATGATATTATATCCGTTTATTCCTTATCCAGTTTTAGTCAACTTCTCATTAACCTTAATTTTACGTTTCCTATTATGATTAGGGCTCTTACAAAAGCTACATCCGGAGACATAAGATTGATTTATGAACTACTTTTTAGGAGAACTAATCTTGTGTGTGTGTGTGTCTTGACTAGGTCAAGCATGGAATAATTCTGCATTAAGGGTAGATGTCAAATACTCTCTTTCATTCTTCATCCCTTTAGTTTGTTTCCCCTAGACAAGAGACGAGATCCCAGCTATGTTCATAATACATGTATGAAAATTACCCAATCGTAGAAATAAACAAATAAATTGACAAGCTATAATTGGCTTTGTCTCACCTTGAGAAAACCTATTCTAATAGAGCAAGACTCTTTCTTCACAGCAGGCGGAGGGGCTGAACTTGAGCATGCAGAAGCCGAAGGACAATCACCACAAGAACAGCCCAATGAATTGTCGCCACAGGAATACGCGGACACATTCATAGCTTTCATTCCAGAAGATTCAGGAGCAGTTGATGTAAAATTTATGGCATATGGAGATCCTGGCAAGCCAAGTGCAGCTCTTCTACCAATAAATGCATACCACTCTGTTAAGCGCAAATACTCACATCAGGATCCCATTAATTGTTTGCTATATAGAGTGTAGATACAGTTCAACTCATACACATGCAGAAGAAAATGCTTTTCATACTTCCATTCAAGCTAAATGGGAGGGAGAAAGAGTTTAACCTCTAAAATTTTTAGCCCCTGCACCAATGAAGTCAATTGCTCGGGTATTCATAGTCCCAAATTTTACCTCCTTGCATGATTCAAATAACTCCTCCCCGAAAGTGTCAGTTATAAAAAAATCAATACCATCTACAGTCATGTTTTTGTTAACCTGAATGTAACAAAGAAATCATGGTAGTTTTGTCAAAATTCGATAGGCAGCTAGTGATATTTGACAAGTAATGCTCAATTACAGTTTTATCACAATTGATTTTAGCTAATATAAAAGGATTAGAAGCGTAGGGAACTCATAAGAATGTAGATATCAAGCCATTATGCGTGATAGGCTGATTTAAGACATATAAATAATTGTGGTGTAGTGTATAGAAGCTCCCACATATTCAAGGTCTGGGAAGGGCTGAGGATGTTTTCTTTTGGACTGTAATTTGTTGGTCTGGTCTGGTCTGATCTGGTATGTTTAAGTCTGGTCTGCACTGGTCTGGCAAATGTCTGGTCTCTATGTATTTTATAACTGTCCAAGTCTGGTCTGGTCTGTTTAAGTCTGCTCTAGAATGCTTAAGTCTGCTTTGGGACTAAAAACAGTCCAAAAGAAAACATTATGAGGCATAAGGCTTCTATACTTCTATAAAGCGATACTATAGCTCGAATCCATGCCCTCCAAGTCACATGGCAGTAGAAGAGCCCATGGCTCTCCTTTAGTATTAAAAGGGCCAGGTCATTGCACATTGGAGTCCCCAAAAGGCCAGGGTCCGAAGAAAGGTCCCACCACAAGGGTGTATAGGGGGGGTTCCCTTGTCAAATTTTTTATAAGAGGTAGCTCTTAAGACTTGAACATGTGACCTCTCAATCTCACAGCAACACCTTAACTAGTGCTCCAAGGCTTCCATTCCCCTTAAACTAATATAACACAAACAATTATAGGAAAAAGTAATCAATTGTAAGTTGAGCCAAAAATATTATTAAATGAATGAAAACTGATGTGACTGCTACCTTTGAAACAGATGTCACATTTATAAATTGACTCTGGTTTGGAGAACATGAAAGTTCACAGAATAGATTTAAAAAATTTCTCAGGCATGCTGGACAGCCTACAAGAAACGGGATTGCCTGCACATGCTTGTAAAAGTGAATAAAAATACTGCAGTGAATCAAATATAAAACTGGAACAAATCATAGTCAGATTACTTGCTGGACTTGAGATCTTAAAATTTCAAATTGAGCCTCTGCACAGCATACATTTCCAGTAATTGTTGGGCACAAACTTTGAACCTTAGATGAAAGCAACTTATCTGGCTGTAAGGTTATAACAAAATCATTCACATAGAGGAGTTTCAATCCAAACAAGGAAACAAAAAAAAAATATCACAGGAGTGTGCAATCACCAATGCCTATGCAGCAGGACTTACCCTAATAGATTGGGAACCAAAGGGGCAATTCAGCATTTTCCCATCCACACGTTTTCCACATATGCCATACATGGCGCAGTATCCTTCTGAATGCCTTTGCCTAACCATATGGGCTAATATGAAAATGGGCATACGAAAATACAAACTTTGCAGCTTTACCAATTCATTCAGTAACTAAGGGCTTGAACTTGTAAAATAGTACTCTCAGCCGTCATCCATTCTTAGCTTAAGCAGGATTGTCTGTTTGGCTAACTCTATAGCTTAAAGTTGAAAATTACTAACTAAAAGTGAAGAGTGATTGTCATTTGAGGCATATAAACAATAATACGGAGTACAAACATTACAATGGTTACCTCTCTTTCATGTTTTTTCCTAAACATGTTGAATAATTGGCAATCAGATACAAACAATATAAAATTGAAAAATTCATAGCAGTTCAGTCAGTAACAAGAAAGGACTTCAAATTTCTTGTTTGATTGAACTCGATGTTTGTTTAGCTAACTGTTCTGTCAAAGTTATATTATAGCTAAAAGGCAAAAACAAACTCAGGGAAAAAAGGTGCGACCAAATAGAAAGAAAAAACTCAAGAAACTGTTTCTGTAATGCATAACAATTGTAGTAACGATAAGTGCATACGTTTTTTACTATATTCTCTAGCTACAATAGTACATTCATATCTGGCCTTCACTTCATAGCAAACTGTAAGAAAATAATGTTTTTCTTCCTGTATTAAATGATTTCAAAAGAAGCGGCCCACAAAAAAAAAACAGTAGATGTAAGGTATTACCAGATTTTTAGGGAGAAAAGCTTACCAAGTTGGCGCATGCGCTGCGACCGTTGAACCACTAAGCAAGACCTGCAAAGGAGGATATGTTTACTTGAAAAACTCCAAATAAGCTGGCAAAGCGCATCACATTAACTTTCAGCGAAAAATGAAAAAGTAAAGCAGTAATTCAAAATAGATGAGATTCAAAGAGTATAAATTCAGAACATCGCAAATGAGCTAAATTCTACCATAAAGATTAAAGAGGGGAAGGGGACCAAAACTTAGGAATGTAGTTCAACTGAATCAAGCGGATGAATTCCATATTCGGAACTTAAAGCCCGCTAGTATGCAGAGGTCCGGCGAAAGTCTAACCTTAAGAAACAAAGAAACTGCCAAACAGGTACTAATAACAAGCCTCATATTTTCTTCCTTCTGAAGAGAACTTCTGCCGTTGTGAAACTTGTGACAGAGGACCGGGAGTATTAAAGACAGTGAAATTATCCGTATTTATTGCGTGCCTGCCAACTGCTAAATGCGGGTTTGTTTAAATTAAAACTGCTATAGATTTGCGCGCATCTTCCTGGCAGTCATCCTAATCTTTACTTTATTCTGTGGTTCCAATTTTATCGGAAACAACTATAGGATTGGTGCACACGGAGTATGTTTCATTGGGAAATTTACTTAGCATGATCAAAACTCGAGTTTCCCAGCTAGGACCTAACTATGTTTGTGTGACAAAAAATTCAAAAAAAATAAGAAAATTTCGTTTATATTTAAATTTTGAATGACGAAAATACTCTTATTTAAAATATGGGCATTTTGCACTAATTTTATCTAATTATAATTACAGGACTTCATATTGTCGTTATTGCACAACATTCCTGCAGAACATTACTACACAACATTACTGCACATTCGGTAATAATCAATTCACTTCCGCCAAAATTGATTATCTTCTCATTGATTTTACGAAATTATTTATAGTTTTTATTTTTTATTTTTTTAAATTTAATAATTTTATTATTTTACGTCTAATTAAGTATTTTGTGTTTTATGACGAAATTACTGCTCTATGTTATTGCATACCGATCATAATTAATGCACAACACTTACTTAATGGATTCATTCAGTGCCATGTACAACATTATGTTCAGTGTTCATATTCACTGCACATATTTAATGCTCAAAAACCCTAATTTTAGAAACTCCAACTTTCAAAATTAGAAAAGACAAAAAATGAGAATAGTGGGCCTGAGTTTGTAGCTAATCCGTAGTGCACACATGTGAAAAAGTCCAACCTAATTTTAATTGAAGTATTCATCTACGGAAGTGTTCCAAGGAGGCGGATCTGGAGTACAACTATTTCACCCAGGGAGCGGACAATCGTGCGGCTAGGTGGAGGCGGCGAGTTGGTGTGCGGCTGTGCAGTTAGATGACGGCGGCAGCGACTGGTTGTAGACGAAGGGCGGCGGCAGCTGGTCGGGGACGAAGGGCGGCACGTCGCACCTGAGAGGCGGTGGCTGGTCGGGGACGAACGGCAGGGCCTGGGAGGTGCGCGCGCAGAGCTTGGAACCATGGTGGCTCTCCGGCAGCCAGACGACGGCAACGGCTGATTGGGGACGAAGGGCGGCAGTGGGTGGTTTGGGATGAAGGGCGGCAGCGGCTGGTTTGGGACGAAGGGCGGCAGCGGCTGGTTTGGGAGTTGGGACGAAGGCGGCAGCTGCTGGTTTGGGACAAAACGCGGCACCTGGTTACGGACGAAGGGCAGGGCCTGGGAGGCGGCACGCAGAGCTTGAAACGACGGCGGCGTACATGGCTCTCCGGCAGCTATGCGGCGGCAGGCGGCCGTGCGGTAGTCATTGGAGGCGGGTGTGTGGCTTTCTAGAGCTTAGGGTTGGAGAAAATGAGTAGAAGATTAGGCTTTTATAGGCATATTCTAAAGGGTATATTAGTCCATGAAATTAATTAATTTATTTATTAATTACGAAATTAATTAAAATTTAGAAATTTAAATATTATTTTGGGAATAAAACTAGTTATGTCATAACTTGAGAAACTCATGGAGTATTAGTCATACTCAAGGTAATTATCTCATATTTTATCCAAGATTTAATTAAATGTGAAAATAAAATAAATTTTTTGAATTTTACATTTTTCAAATACTAGTAATAATCCTTGGTGTAAAAAATATAGCGGTCTCTCCCTCGTAAGTAGGGTTTGAGCGATTCCCGCAAAACTGTGCAGTGAAGCGAACGATCGGACGGCTAGCAGCGCGGTGGAGGCAATTCTGCAGGCGAATATGCTGGGGAGCGGTGGAGTGAACTCTCAAACGGAGGGGGCTCTCCATGACGAGGAGGGAGATCCTTCGGTGGTAGTCGGTGAAGGAAGCGTGGAGTCCTTTATAGGTCATTACGATGGGATGTGGTTGGGGCATTTGGAGGTGGAATCGCTGCGGGATGATGCGGAGAATGATCCCGAGGCAGCGAACAAAGCGGTGGAAGTCTTCCCTGTGGTAGGTACAATCCTCACGGACAAAGTGGTGAAGTTTCAATTCTTTCATGATCTGATGGCGTCTCTGTGGTGCCCGGGGCATAGGAGTTCTGATTCAAGAGATGGGGGAGAAGAGGTATCTGTTTACATTTTACCACATAATTGATATGAATCGTGTGTTGAATAATGGACCTTGGTTGTTTGACCAGAACCTGTTAGTTTTAAAAGTCATTAAGCAGGTGATATGCCCCTGAAGGTTCCCCTAGATATGGCTGATTTTTGGGTACAGGTGCATAATATCCCTTATGGATTTTCAAATCTGGGAAATGCTCGTAAAATTGGGAACTACTTGGGTAAATTTATTTCCTGGGATGATAAACAGTTTAATGAGAAGTGGGAAGCCTATATGAGGGTTAGGGTCAAGCTAGATGTGAGGAATACCTTAAAGGTGGGTACAAATTTGAAAAGGGGTAAAGGGGAAGGGTATTGGGTAGACTTCAAATATGAGAAACTACCTAACTTCTGCTTTGCCTGTGGAGTCATAGGACATGTTGAAAAGTTCTTCCATTACTATATGAGAAAGGTGATAAAGCGATTGTAAGATCCTTTGGACCATGGCTATGAGCGGGAGGAGGGATACCTCGTCCTTCTATGGGAAGTAAATGGTTAGTTAGCAAGGGAGGGTTAGGAAGAGGCCAGATGGGCATGCAAAAGAACCCCAATGACAAGCAGGAACAAGGCCGGGATTATATGCAGAACAAGGCTCAGGAAAAAGGGGAAGGGTCGAAGTTTGAGGAGGTAAGGGCAAGAAGCAGCGAAACAGGAGTAATGAATAGGACAGTAATGAAGTCCGATTCAGGATCAACGAATCTGGTTGTTTCTTTTGAGGTGGCAGGTTCTAAGTCTGGTTCAAGGGCGGACGGTATGTTGGTCCAAAATAGGACGCTCGTAGGCCTTTAGGAAAGCTACGAAAGAGTACTCAAGCAGGAAAGTAGAAAGCAATACGAATATGGAAAGTAGCTAGAGAGTTTGATAGCCAGAAATAGCCTGTAGAAATTGTTCTCCCTAATCTGAATTACAACATGCCTTTTATAGGCGTATACAAATTGTAACTGTTATTCGCTAATAATGACTAATTAATTACAACATTAATACAGAATTAAATACATAATTAAACAGCGCATTAATTGCTTGACCGTTACTTTTCCTGGCTGGCAGGTCGGCCGGACTGGCAGGCTCCCCGTTGGGATGGTAGGCAGGCTCCAGGTTGTGGACCTGGATCCACGGGTCCAAGTTCGGGGCTTGGGCTGATTAGGCTCTGCGGGCCTAGTCCCATAACTCCATCACGGTAGATAATGGGCTCTTGTCTGTTTGTATCCTGCTTACGTTCTTTTCTTATTAATATAAGTCACCTTCTTCCCAAAAAAATCAAATACTAGTGTATAATAAGTTCATACCATTATGTATAAGTCCATACAATAAATATTAAATGTAAGAAATACTCAGTAGTAGAGAAAACTATTTGACAGTGTTCATTAGAATTTGTTACTATTATTTATTAATTGTTGTTCCAAGAGATTGAATCATCAACCCCAAGGGTCCCTCATGCCATGACCTGACAAAACATATGAGATGATGTAAGTCACAATGACTCATTCGGTTCAATGGTTGTAGACTTTATAGCCGTGCGCACCAGAGGTCTAGTCTAGCAAGCAGGAGCTGTAACTTCCACATGGGCGTTGCAGGTTTCGAACATTGGTCATTGTTCCAAATTTACATCACTCAACCAACTGAGCCACTTGTAGAGATAGTATTTATTAATTAGTACTATAGATAACATATACTCCGCGCGTACGTTATATATACGAAACTTAAATTACTTGGAGGTTTTAATTTGGAAAATTTTCCTTAAAGATAATATTTGTGGTAGTGTCTTATAAATCTCCTTTCTTGTCATTAATTAAGATCTTTGATTCATGATTGTTTTAAAGTCTTTAATGACATATATAATCTTTAAGTAATTGACATATATAGGAGTAAAACATGTCAATTGTGCAAAAATAGGAATTCATCTTTTTTTTAAAGGAGGAACTCATCTTTTTTATTCCGCAGATATGAGCTTCTTTTATTTTATTCCCTTCCTACCCCTGCTTTCTCGCAAAAACCCTTCTGTCACACACCAACTTTTCTTCTCTCTCCTATCATTTCTCCTTCTTTTTTCTTCCGGCTTCATCTCACTTTCAGGCACCAACTTTTCATCTCCCTCTCTCCTCTTCCTTCTTCATTTATTCTTCTCCCCGCAACTCATCCTCTACTATATATCATCCTTTCAAATAACTCCATATTTCTGACAGGTCTAATAAGTTCACCCATCTCTGGCGGATTACAAAGGTTTGGACGTCGATTTGTTCTTCTCAAGTCCTACCACCGGCGGGTGGTAGCAACTGTGTACATATGTTTTGATTCCCTTCTTGTTCTCCGGCCGACCTCCCCTTCTTCTTCTGCCTCTTCTTTTTCAGATCTTGAAAGAAAATTTGAAAGAGAAAATGAGATCAAAGTAAGAAATAAATTGATTGATTCAAATCTGGAGGGGGTGGGGAGGGAGAATTGAAACGCGTCCAAAGGTTTGGTTTCATATTGTCTTTCAATTTTTCTTTCACCTTTTATTCTTTTACCAATTTATTTTATCTTTTAAAGTAAGATTATAATTTTTGACATGAATTTCGATCAATTTTCTGTAACTTTTGATATTACTTTTATAATTTTTGTGGCATTAATGAAAATATTACTCATTCGCAATGCAATACTAATAATGTCATATTTTCTATGTGAGAATATTATTTCAGCACTTAGTGCCATTTTTATGGCACTAAACGGCACTAACGTTACAAAGATGGTAATATGTAACTTTTATGGAAAAACAGTGGTGCTATGTTTTTTAATCTGAAAATGACATCTTATTTCTGTCATGATGGCAATGATGTTATCAAGATGGCAATCTAACAGCAAGATGACACTCCTATGATAGTCATGCCAAATCAGAGGTTAGATTAGAGATTTGCCATGATAGATGGTGGATGAAACCACCGGTAGCGCCTATGGCGGTGGTGGTGGTGGAGATGATGGCAGAGGCGATGGCCGGTGGTGGAAGAGTCCTCGCCGGTGATGACATGGGTGGCGGCTACAGAGGTAGAGCCACAACAACAATGATAGCGGATGAAGCGGACGGCGGCGGCGGA